TGGTATGGTATGCACCCCCGCTGGCACTACCTGGTTAATCAACTTTTGTGGCACCAATTGGCAACAGTCACTGTTCTGTTATAGTCAGGGCCCTAAATAGCCCGGCAGGGGAGATTTGTCCATCCATGCAGTGCAGCATGTTCTATTTAGCCTGCAGGCTGAATAAAAGAAATCTAAAAGTCTGGTCAGTTGAATGCTATACTGGGGTTCCCCCTTTAGTGCACTGCGCTTCCATCCACTGTCCCCAGCTGTGTACTGTATTAACCCCTTCGTGATGGGAGACATACAGTGTACATCCCGTCACAAGTGGCTATATGACTGGCCACGTACACTGTACGTGCCGAGTTATATTAGCCTCTGTAATGCTGGTAACTGCTGATTCTCAGCAGTTCCAGTCATTATCTGACAGCTGAAGATAGCAGAGAGGTAGCAGTGACTCACCTCTCTGCTATTCGTTTTGACAGCTGTATAGCCTGGCCCGATGTTAAATGATACATTTCACTCAGATACATTTGTATCTAGTGCTTGAAATGTATCAGTTTTGATCGTCTAGGAACGATCAAAGACCTTTTAGTGAGATCTGATTCTGATGAGACTGATCCTGACAGCATAAGTTATTATTAGCTGTTCCTAAGCTTGGAGCAGCCTGATAACTAAAGATTTAAAAAAAGTTAATTTATTAAGCAGTCATAGTGATTGCTTGATATAAACTGACAAATTTTTTATTTTTTTTTACAAAGTGTAAAAAAAAAAAGTGTACAAAAAAAATTAGGAAAATAAAACTTTTATATATATTTTTATACTATAATTAAAATATTAATACAAAAAAAAAAATTTCTGGTTTTGGTAGAAGTGAGGGAAAAATCTTTCTATCACAGCCCTGGATTATTATCATATAGTATTTTATTTATATCGCGCCAACAGCTTGCGCAGCGCTTTACAATCAAGACAAGATGGTAAGGAGGGCCCTGCCCCTGAGGGCTTAGAATTTAGAAGGGGAGGGGGAAGTGATACATGAGGAGTTAGCTGTGTGGGGATGAATTGTTTGAGAACGTGACGGTTCAGTGGTTAGGTTAGCAGGAAAAACCTGGTAGAGGTTCTAATCCTTGCCCGTGCTATCTAAAACTAATAAGAGTTTCTGCTGGGCATGCACATTAGGGGCCCCTGTCAACAGGCTTCAGTGGGCAAATGCACCATAGCTTTGACATCAGTGAGAAGTACTTCTGAGATCATAAAAGGGTATCTATGGTCAAAAACTAAAAATGAATATGTATTCCCATAAGTTCCATCCCACACCAAAATAACCATATTCATCTAGAATTTTTTAAAGCTAACTTACTGAACTACAGCTCAACATCTGAATGATGTAACATTATAATTGCCTGCTGGAAGCCATGCATGATGGGATATGTAGTCTTGAGAAATCAAGATTGCATCGCAGCAGTGAAAGAGATGCAAAGCTTCTGTTGGAAGTGATGGGCAGACAGAAGGCAGCACTCACTGCATAAAAGGGTTTTTTTTTTTCCAAGTAAGCTTTGATTGCATTATTAAAACCAACTCGAGTATGTATTCCTATTACAATGCTGATGTTATAAGAGCCTAGTATATACTGGGACTTTACAACTGCTTTGAAGAACTGAAGCAAACAAAAGCCCACCAGCGCTGGCCATATAGCTACTCTGGTACACTGCATCCCTGCAAGGAAAGCCATTAAAGTGATATTAAAGCCTAACTTTTTATTTCTCATTTAAGGAGACCATCCTTTGCTGGAGGCTGTTGATTTCATTCTTTAAAAGTTCCTAATTCCTTGTTTTCTAGTGGCTCCCCGCAGCGCACTTCCCCCTGCACGGGTGCCACCGTTGTTCTAATGGAGGCACCCGTGCACGCTCGTTTCCGCAGTGGCTGTGTGCATCCATAGACACACACAGCCCTATGGCAGGCCACACCACATCCCTCTTTGATGGCAGAAGGAGTCTATGGCTCCTCTGCCATCAGTATCCTCCCCTCGCAACGCGGAGGTTCGGGGAACGGAGGATCTCTTTTGGACCAGCGGTGGGGACAGGTAAGTGTGGAGGGGACTGGGGTAGATAAAAAGGTGCTGGGCTGTTTTTACCCTAATGCAGAGAATGCATTAAGGTAAAAAAAAAAAAGCCCAGACCTTAATACTACAATACTTACCTGCCTTGCTGCCACTAGGTTGAAGAGCCAAGCTTTCACTATGCTGGCCACCCCCATTGCTTTCTGTGGTTGGCTCAGCCGGCTCCTACATTACTGCCAGACACTGGTTAGGAAGGAACCACACAGTGCTCCAGGAGACAAAAACTCTGACACACCTGGAAGTGCCGGAAGCTGAAGATCTTTTCAGAACGCTTCGATCTTCAATGCAGCAGAGGTCAGCATGGGCAGCAGAACAGATTACTATAAAAGTAGTATTACATTTGCTTTTGTGTTTACATAGCAAGCAGTAGATATATGCAAAAACATTTTTAAAAAAAAGCTGTGCAGGATGATGGGGCGGGCACATGCGCAGTAGAGATCTTCGGCGGGGAGAAGAGGAGAGACAATGTAAGTGAATGCACACAGCCATGAGCGTGCATGTCGGACAGGCACCCTGGGACACAGCAGTCAGCACTGGATCAGTGACGTGCAGTCAGGGGAGGCAGAGCCTCACCTACCATTAATGTAAGAAAAAAATAAAAGTTAAATTTTTTTCTTAACTTTTACCTGCATCCACTGACAAGTTCAGCCTCACTTCTCGCAGGCACGCACTGCATTCCAGCTTCTTCTGACAGGTTACACAAAATAGGTAGCAGGGAAGCTTCCCTGCCACGCTAACAGCACAACCTGTCAGAAAACAGACAGTGTGCATCTGTTTGAGCAGGCACACGCTGTGCTGTATGAATGTGGGAAGCTGAGGCTGAGCGCTTCATTGCTTCTAACTTCTGCCAGAGTCATTGAGCTCCTATGGACGGTTTGGGCCAATGGAAATGTACCATTGGTTCAAGGCGTCCAATAAAAATGATTAGGGGAGACAAAGATGATAGTTGCCTCTCACTGACAGTCATAGGAAAAGGGGTATGTCAGCCGGACTGTGCGCTCTATGAGCTGGCTCTGGGCTGCGCAGGCCAGATGACCAGCATATCAATGGGTTTGAGCAGGCACACTGGCTCCAGAGATGGAGTAGGCACGCTACCGCTAGTCTGTACTAATCCTGGTTTCCATGGAGCCAGATAATTACCGCGAACGCGGAGCAACGGTTTTTACACCTTGTAATCCTTTCTCCGGTTTGTGGAGTGGACGGAGCACGGGACGGATCAGTAAGTTTCTCATACTCCTTTGGTGAGCCACTAGTAATCATGGTCATTTTTAAGCTGACGAATGGCTGGAGCATACCATTTAACATTGGTTTATTATTTCTGTCATTTACATTTCTTCACTTGGCGGCAATATGACATCAGTATGACGTCAGAGGGGGTAGGATGGACTGCTCTTGTCTTCTTCCCACTGGTTGATTGCACTTATGGTTTTGATATATAAGGTGGTGGGTTTTTAATGCATTCATTGTCATGTTAAGCCTGATGAAGAGGACCCTGCGTGGCCCCGAAACGTTACGCTTGGAGATGTGACATGATGCGTGAATAAAGGAAAAGAAGGAGTGTTCATACAATACCCATTGGTGTTCTGGTGATTCCTTGCTATTGTGTAAAAGACAGGCTCCTTCCCTGCCCATCCCATAATCCAGTCACAGCTAATAAGGAGTACCCAGTGCTCGCTGCTGATAGAAATTAGAAATAGAAAGGTACTCGCGTACATACTACATTTTTATGTTATATATATATATTTTAGTTTGTGTTCAATTAGTATAAATAGTGCAACTACAATCGCCTACATAATGAGAATCGAATATGTAACTTGTGAATATCTGACTCTCATACTAGACAGTGCTTCACCAGCCACTGACCTCACCACACGTCCCCGCGCTGGAGGGACTCCTGAAAACTACTGGAAAGAAGAAGAAGATGATCGGATCAAGAAGCAAGGGAGCCTGTCCTTAAAGCAGCATTAGGGGTTGGGGGGGAATTGTGACTTTAATGTCACTTTAACTGCTTTCTTTGCAGGGATGGATTTTTATTGAAAGGCCTCATTCACACGACTAACACCCGGCCCGTACAGCGTGCACGGCCGTATCAGGCCACTCCCGGGAAGGACAGATGCTGCGGATCCATCCTGTCTGCGTACGAATACGGACACCCACACCGACGAGGAGTTCGGGTGAGCGTACTCCCATAGAGAAGAACAGGCTGCTGTGTGCAATCACACGCAGCACCTGTCCTTCCCGGGAGCGGCCCGATATGGCCGTGCACGCAGCACGGATCTGTACGGCCGGCTGTTAGTTGTGCGAATGAGGCTTAAATCACTTGGGTGTGCATACCCGTGCAGAGACCTGCTCTTGGGAATGGACAAGTGTAGTGTGTAATTGTGTGCAGCCATCTGCATCCCTATGAGAGAACGTGGCTGCATGCCAACCCAAATCTGCACAGGTTCAAATGCACAGACTTGGACGCAGACTGTCTGGAGTGTAGCCGCGTCCTCTCATAGGGATGTACAGGGGGCTGAATGCAATTACATGCTGGACCTGTCCCTCATGGAGCAGAACTCTGTACGGCGTGCACGATCTGTGTGAATGAGGCCTAAAGCTGAGCTAGAGTCCTACATGAAACTGGGCAGCCCAGTGTTACCTCAAGCTGAAAGATTTAAAAAAAAATAAACCATTCTGAATATCCCAATTCAGAGAGTATGCTAGAACACATTTATTTTACAAAATTGCTCCCCTTAATGATCCCTACAAATGTATAATGCTTCTATGGCAAGCTAAAACACTGTAACTGACTGCTGTGCTTCAATAGAGAGAATTGGAAGCGGTGGCAGCTTGCCAGCACATAACAGACTGCAGCCTCTGTGAGTAAAGATGACTGTACACATACACAGTACAGTACAGCAGCAGGATAGCACACACTCCCCCCCTCCACGATTCCGTGTCATGTGACAGGAAGCAGCATCACACAGGAACCCACGTGTGAACACAGGGAGCTGCCATTGCCCGGAGGAAGTGTGTTGATCGCTGTTTTCTGTCCACTATGAGTTGTCAGATCACCTGTGTGTCCTGGGTACAGCGGGGGATCGCTAAGGAGAATCCCGAAAAGGTGGGGTCTTGTTGAATTAGTCATATACCAGTCCTGCTTTGCTCATACAGTGTCTTTTTCGTTGTTCTGGATAACAGACAACTTTTTTGTACCTGGTTATAAAATGAAGTTCCTCAGTGTGGAGAAATGATTTTAACGTGCATCTATAGTCTGGAAAGGTGCAGTATTGCTTTCCATATCTCTATAAGTTTAGTCTGCTTATATTATGACTTCCCTGGTTCCTCCTTTCCTCACTCATATTGATACTTTGTAATCAAACATTTCAGTTACAAAATGGGGGACAGTACAGTTACACTACAATTTCTGTACAATAGAGTTGGGCCTGCTCCTGAGAGCTTACAATCTAGTAGATATAGTAAAAATTGCGACATCCCAATGCTACAAAAATAATAACTCTTTGCTTCCCCCATTAGGGCCCATTCACACCATAAAGAGTGTGTTCAGCCTCTGCAACGCACTGGACCGTAACCCGGCTGGCTCACTTTGTTTTGGGACCGGAACGCAGGCACCAATGTGCCATGCGTTAAGTTGCAGGCGATCGTATGGGGGGGGGCGTGGCTGCGGTGCCATTCACTTCAAGGAACGCCACGTCCCCTCCCACCCCAACACAAATGAGCTGGCCACAATGCAATCCAGTGCATTCCGGCCAGAAACGGTCCGGAACTAGCCCTAACCAAAAATGTATCTTATTCTGTGTGTGTTGTAAAGTAGCCACTGCTCCAAGCTCACTCCCGTGGTGGACTACAATCACAGTACAAATTAGTAAACTAAACATGAGATTGTAGTCCATCACAGAAGCGAGCTTGGAGCGGTGACTACTTTACAAGACTCATAGTTTAGAGTTAGGACCGCACTATAAGAGGTGCCTTGGCGCGGCAGTGCGGCTTACACATCCTTTGCAGAAGACGTGTATCTAAAACATTCACTTAAAGGCCCGCCACGCCCCCTCCCGCCCCAAAACAAAGTGAGACCGCCGGATTGTGTTCCAGAGGCCGAATGCACTGGAACACACTCTTTATGGTGTGACTGGGCCCTCAAGGATTTTTCTGGTTATCTGTGTAGCTTTGGAAACTGAGACAAAGTTGTTTATACATTTCATTTATTTGATATAAGAAGCTGTAGAGTTTTTGTTTAGACTGGAATACTTCTTTAAAGCAGATATAAACCATAACTGTATGGAATTTAGTTTGCAGAAGCACTGTGTATTATAAACAACTTCAATTCTTTTTTTTCTTCATTGAAACTACAGTCCTTATTACCTCTTTTTCATCCTTTTGTAGCATCTTAGTGCTGCTGATCTCCCACAGTCTGTTTGCAGCAACTTTCTGCATGCAATCTGTCCTGTGGTGGCTGCATGGCAATTTTCCATGCAGGACTCCTGATGGTGGCAGCAGCACACAATGTTTGTGTATTGTGTGTTAAAGCATGCTCTTGTCCCTGTTGAAAGCCTGTGAAACAGGGTGACAACATAGAAGCACAAATGGGACACAGGGCGAGAGTGTTGTCAGCCTATAGCTTTTATTATAGATAGAAAGAAAATACCTTACATGTCCTTTTGACATATTAACACTTCTATGGGAATTTAGTGACTGGGTTGGGTACAGTTGTGTGATGTCATTGTAATGACCCTTGTTGTTTGTTTTCTGTAGGTTCAGCTGACTAAAGAAGAGCTGAATAAACTGATAACAGAAGCTAAAGAACAGTTGGAGTAAGTACCACAAACTGATAAGATGGGACAATAAGAAGGCAATCCTTGGAAGGGAACCTGTGCTTTGTTTCTTTCTGATTGGCGCACAGTAGTTGCTGTGCTGGAGGTGTATCTGACCGCTGCTGTCACACAGAGGATTATCTTATCCTTTTCTTCAGTGGGCTGCCAGGGAGGAGGGATGTTGGCACAGGAGGGATGTTAGGCCCGGTTCACACCTGGGCGTTTTGTAGCGCATTCCTACGCTCTGCAAAACGCTCAAACACAGAAATCCCATTATTTCCTATAGGTATGGTTCACACCTGGGCGTATTACAGGCCGTATGAACGTGCTACAAAACGCCCTATGTCCAAAGAAGTACAGGAGCTTCTTTGGGGCGTCTTTGTCGCGCGTATCCATTGGGATACAGCCAGGTAGCCCTCGGAAACGCGCGTTTGGCACGCATTTTTTACCGCGAATCGCGGCAAAAATGCACATTCGATACGCCTAGGTGTGAACCCAGCCTTAAGGAACAATGCAAAGAAAGTCTATTACTATTAAAGTGATATTAAGTCAAAAGGTTTTTAAGCTATTTTAAGTACTGATTCAATCACTTACAATTGATGCTGCCCTTTGATGTTTAACAGTTTTTTTAGTTTCCGGCAGAGTCAGCTGTTCCACTGAGCACTGGCCCCGATATCCTGTTTTAGGGTGGCTCCTTTCCCTTGCAGGTTCCCATGGAGCCACCCTTGTGTGTGCTAGTAAGCTATGTGTGTCTACACATACACAGAGGTACAGCAAGGCAAGCCTCTCCCTGTTCCCTTCCCTATGCTAGCTGATGGAAAGCTGCTTTAGACTTTACTGGCCCTTGTGAGCTTGTACTAGACAGGAAGTTCAGGGAAGCTGAGCTGAGAGAGTTGGAGCTGTTCCAAAACATGATGACTGTAAGGCCTGGTTCACACCTGACCGTTTTGTAGCGCGTCCTACGCTCGATGAACGCTCTACAAAACGGTCAAAAAAATAAATAGCACTGTATTCAATGGCCTCGTTCCCACCTGTCCGTATTTCCGCCCGTCCCGAACGCACTACAAAACGGCCCACGCATGAAAAGGTCCCGGAGCGTTTTTTGCTGCGTATTGGTCCGTTTTGTAGGGCGTTTTCCATTAGTATACTGCCAAGTAGCCTTTGGAATCGCGCGACGGTCGCGCGGCTTTTTTACCGCGAATCGCGGTAAAAAAACCGCGTGACGGTCGCGCGACAGACGCGCATATTACAATACGCATAGGTGTGAATGGGGCCTAAGTTTTGGGGGAAAAATGTAAATAATTACTTTGCTAGGCGATGTATTTGTGTTTGCTTTGAATTCATTATTGAAAAAAGATTGAGTTTAATACTACTAACCATTTGTGTCCTGAATTTGCCACATCTATTAGGCTATGTTCACACCAAGTCTGGAACAGATCTGCAAATGCAGTGCATTTTGTACCGCGATTTTGCCACGTTCTGGTGCTTTATTTTTTTTTCTAGCTTAAAAAGGGCTTTCAGGTGCAGTCCAGTGTGTTCCTTGCATGTTTAATGCGTTCCAGACCAGAAATAAATAAGACATTCAGTATTTTTTCTGTCTGGAAGGGGAAAGCACTGCAATGGTGTGAACTGTAGCCCAGAAATCACATAGGTATACATTGGGATGCGTTTTTGGTCCAGGAGCTAACTGTTCTGGTCTGGACAGAATTTGGACATTGTGTGAACAATGCCTAATGTGACCTCTGTGTTTAGACGCATGAGCAATTAGATCTTTAATTTTTTTTGGCTGATTAAGGGCAGGTTTACACCGTTTTCCGGACCAGATATGGAATGCAGTGCATTGTGTTCTGCCGCCTTTTTACCACGCTCCGGAGCCTTTTTTTTTGGCTTAAAATTGGATTTCATGTGCGTTCCAGTGCGTTTGTATGTGTTTTTTTTTATATGTTGCGCACTGCAGACCAGACAAAATGAGACATGCAGTATTTTTCTGGTCTGGTACAGACTGCGCTGGTATAAATAAAGGACAGAAATAACATAGGGATACATTAGGATGCATTTTGGGTCCAGAAACAATCTGGTCTGGTCTGGAGATGATCGGGATGTGACCCTGAAATGAAAATAAAAAATGTAAGTGAAAATGGCTAGTTTGGCAGTTCTATAAACGTTTGAACATAAAGTAGGGGCGATCCTCTAAGTACATCAACACTCCCTGATGCGTGTTTTATGCCTCTACAGAGGAGAACTCGAGGATAATGAAGATGAAGCTGGTGAGGAAGCAGAAGATGAGAAACCTGAAGACAAGGAAGAGTCCACCCAACCAGATGAGAGTCGGGAGGAAAGCATATCCAATCTGAAAATTGATGAGCTTGCTGCATATGATTTGGACAATTACGATGAGGAAGGAAAAACCGGTATAAGATCTGTAAAAAAAAACGTTTGTAACTAAGTTGACAGTTAAATTATACGCTGGGTATACACAGTTAGAATTTTGTTCAAAAATGGTCTTTTTTGGAGCTTTACGTTGATTTCCTAATACCTAACGGGGTGAAAACGATGATCATTTTTCATAGTGACAATAAAAGGAGCAGGATGGAAAAATGTTCTTGAACGAAATTCTAACAGTAAGTGGGGTTTTCGTTTGGGCAACTCGAAAGTTGAAATCAAGTGAAGTTTGGACCAACAACCGTGAAGTCTCTGATAGTATTATTGACAATTATTGTTTTGACAAGATTTTTTGTAACAATGTTTGTAAGAAATTCTAACCACGTATACCCAGCTTTAGGCTTGTAAAATTTGAATTGAGGGGAAACTGAAATGTGGGCATTGTCCACATTACACTCCTTGCATTGGATTCTTTACCACCATTGAGCCTAGCATCCGTTGTATATAAAAAGGGTTCTTAAAGGAGAACTATGAGGTGAATGTTCACATTGGAGGTGAGGAGATTAAGGGGGGATATGATCTCCATGTGCAAAATGTTCAATGGTGGTAACAACATTAGCGATAAACTGTTTAAAATTAACTCCATTACAAAAACTAGAGGCCATCACCTGAAATTGGTGGAAAAAAAATTCCAGCACAAGGGGCGAAGGGGGTTCTTCACAGTAAGATCAGTTAGGGTCTGGAACTCACTGCCACAAGCGGTTATTTCAGCAAATAATGTGGAATGGTTCAAGAAACTTTTGGACGATTTCTTAAGGGACCGTAATATACAGGGGTACAGGTACTCCTAGAATGAGATCCTAATAGGTTGGACTTGATGGACTAATGTCTTTATTCAACCTCAAATACTATGTAACTATGAATGATTTTCACTTAACCTCATAGTTCGAGCCGACGTGTGACAATGAAACTGTCACACGTCGGCTCAATAGATCGGGAAGTGAGCGAACACATAACGTTGCTCGCTCACTTCTCGATCCTGTCCCTGCAGAGAGCCGTGAGCGTCGCTCACGGCTCCCTGCAGGGATTCCCCCCCTCCCCAGTCCGATTCTGCAGCGCTGATTCGAGGAACGTACGCGGGAGTGGGCGGGTACAGTTGACTCTGCCTCTAGATAGGCAGAGCCAGCTGTCAATCACGCAGATGAGTGGATCTTGACAGTAATGTCAGGATCCGTCCTGGCTGCGGTGGTCTCAGTATATGGTGAGCTGTAACTCGCGATATACTGAGCTTTGGGTCACGGAAGGATGCTAGTTTATGTCCTCCCGTGACCCTAAAGAGAACTATGGGGAAAAACATTTACCCCATAGTTCTCCTTTAAAGCCCTGACGAAAGGTTACCTTTTTAAGGCCCCAAAACACCTTGGTTAATGGATTATATACATTTAGTGTGGTGCTTTATTTTTTTCGTATGAACTATAGTCTACAATACACCTAAGGGCTCCTCCCCCAACTGTAGACACTACCAACCACACATTACCAATTAAAATATAGGTTCCAGCACCTCTAACCCTCTGCCTTAGGTTAGGATAAGGGTGACGGAAATGAGCCTGTCCCTTTTAAAATCGGCCCATGCCATTTGCTTTTGCTATCCCATCTAAGAATACCTGTACATAGAGGTTGATGTAAGCTCTTTATTGGATCCTGTCTTCTGTCACAACTCTGTAGCAATCTTTAGATAGCAGCTGTAAAAACTCAGTGTAAAAATCAACTTTACCTTCAGAATTATGTCTGCGTTCAGTCTACCTGGATAGAGTAACATCATTCCTGATTGGCTGGGATTATCTTAATTTTAACAGTTTTTATTGGCAGTGTTTAGCCAATAGGAATTTAGAAATCATTTTAGCCAATTGTAAAAAGAGGGATGAAGAAAGTGAAATGAGGTAAAGTATTGACTTTACCTCATTTCACTTTCTTCATCCTTCTTTTTACAATTGGCTCAAATTCTTTCTAAACTCTGCCAATGAAAACTGTTAAAATTAAGATGATGATCCCAGGCAATACACTGTTTTCACAGCTGCTTGCTGGCTACATAGAAAAGCCTGTGCCCTGCCAGCATTTTGTAAAGAAGCACCTACGCTCTCTGTGTGGAAGCAGTGATCTCTTGTGCCCTCTGGTATGACATGCCTCCTGTTGTGTGAGAGCTCGAGCTCTGCCATCATCAAGGAGCATGAGCTTTGGTGATTTGCAAAGGTGTAGGTCTGACTTGGCATGGGGAGTATCGGACCTGCTGCAGGGAGACCGCTGCTTCCACACACAGAGCAAGGGTCCTTCTCGGCAGCATGTTGGCAGGGGACAGGCTTTTCTACTCCGGTTGTGGCTGCTTTATATAGAAAGAACTGTAATACTTTGTGCACCGTTTATTTCGATGCCCCTGGAATATATTTTGCTGATTTGAACTATTAAAGTTCAACTGGACTTCAACTGTTTTAAAGATAAGCCCGATTTCTATTTTATAGTTGTGCTGTTCTATGCATAAACCATGCTTAATTGAATATGTGTTTGTTTTATAAAAGTTGTCCTCCATGTTGAACAAGTGACAATTTACTTTGAACCCCCCTCTGAATCAATAAAAGTAATACAAGACAACAGATTTGTAGAAGCAAGGTCACTGCAGCTGTAATTACAGCTTAATCAATTTACATTTGCCACATCAGCTGGTGAGATGAGACAATTTTGTTCAGGATTGATTAGAAAGCATTGATTGGGACATGATGCATGGACCAGAAAAGGAATGCAAAAGGATGAAATCTCTTTTTATAAGACTGGATTGAGTTTAGGGAACTAAAGAAGAACCCTAAGCAGAGTTTGCTTCTTAACTGACCTCATAATAAGAACTTGCAGTTTCAGGAAAACTTGTCATCGAGTCTAGGTTTAGGAAAGCAGATTTTCCTCTAGGCCCCATTCACACACAAATCGGCCTGCACTTACAGCTCCGTGCTGCGTGCAGGGCCGTACCAAGCAGCTGCTGGGAAGGACAGGTGCTGCGTGTGATTAGTACGCAGCCCCCATCCTTCTCTATGGGGCTACGTGGCCGTACGCTCACCTCAATTGCAGGTCGGCAAGGGTGCGGGTGAGTGTATTCATACGCCGCAGGAATGGATCCTGTATGCGTCCCGACCAGAAAAGCCGCACCCCTACGGACCTGCAATTAGGGTGAGCGTATGGGGGCGTACGGCCGCGTAACCCCATAGAGAAGGACGGGGGCTGCGTACTAATCACACACAGATCACGATTTTGTGGGCCTTGAGCTGCATTGCGCAATATTGAGCGACAATGCACATTTTATCGCGCTTTTTGGGTGGGACTTTGTCGCTGCTACATCGGGCTGTAACCAATCAACAGCAATCTTGACGTGACATCATTCTTTCCTTACATTTTGCAGTGCAAAAGTGACCCTTCTGTAGCGCGATATCGCCAGTAATGCACGATTCTATTAGGCCGAATCGCGCGACATCCGCCGAAAAAAGGGTCATTTACAAGTGACAAGCTGCAGGCGACATTGAGCTGTGAGATGTGAACATTGGAATGCATTGGACAAGCTACATAGAGCGATATCGCGTGGAAATATGCGCGATTTCGCAGCTCAGTGTGAACGGGGCCTAACAGCCCGCCATGCGAATTCCTTTTGCAATACAAGCCTTTATGAGTGTATGTATAAAGTCACTCGCACTCCAATAGAATTTCAAGTCAAAAACGGTTTATTGACTCGATTGCTATCACATCATATAGCTATATGATGTGATAGGTATATGATGTCATAGCAATTGAGTCAATAAACCGCTTTTGACTTGAAATTCTATTGGAGTGCGAGTGACTTTATACATACACTTATCTTGGATTGCAGAGGCATCTGCAGTCACTTTGGCACCCACCCGACTCTAAGGATATTTTTCGGTCAGGAGTGCGATGGGTACACTGGATTTTGGACAAGTCTTTATGAGGACACTTGTGGATGAAAGGTGTGACTCTTCCTCAGCTCTGCCAGCATAGACTCCTGGACTGGGAGATCTAAAGCAGCATTTTCACTAAGATTAAACAAAACAAAAAAAAGTCTTTAACCCTTTCGCTGCCAAGCCCTCCGGAACATTTTTCAAATCAGCTGGCCAAGCCATTTTTGAATTAGTAAAAAAAAAAATCTGTCATAAATCAAAACATGTGGGGCCATAGAAATGTGGTTTAAATGATTTGCTGATTTGAAAATTAACAGAAAAAAAAAGAATAATAAATCTTATTTCTTACTAGATGTTCTGAACCTTGGGGACAGTCTGGCTGGTCTTAGTGTATACAGCTGCAACGAGCAAGATGCTTATGTCACCCTTAAAGATACCGTATGTATATGTCGACTGTGTCTGGACCTTTGTATAATAAAGTAAAAATGGTTAGGGACATTTTCTACCGTTATATGTTACTGACGGGTCACAAATAGTCACATGTAGTTCAGTGTAGCAGCTTTTACCATTGGGATCACATTTACAGGGACAAAGGTGGAGCTGACAGGTCTCATGAGGGCTTATGAGACATAGGCATTATGGTATTAAAGGAAAAATTTTTTAGTGAGCACATATTTTGGGTTATTTTGTTGCTGTTAATTGTGAAGTAATTTTGTGACTCACTTACTTTCACGTGTTTTTGTTTCTATAAATTATTTTAAAGGAGCAATATGAAATAGAAGATTTTACTATTAAACCCACTGACAACATGCTGGTCTGTGGTCGGGCAGAGAAAGACCACTGCAGTCTTGAAATTCATGGTAAGCACACTACATTGACTGGCTGCTAAATTAACGTCTTGCAGACCAGATGACCACAGAGGTTAAAATTAGGGATGCACCGATACATGTTTTTCGATATCAAGTACCCATATTTTTCTTTCTGGTACTCGCTGATACTGAGTACCGGTGCCTTGTGCCCCGATTATCAGGAAGTCGAGTGGCAGATCATGACATGTCGCCTGGCTTCCTGATTGCCTGCGAAGCCAGTGTTCTAGTCAAAGAACACCGGCTTCACTTGCCGAGGATGCCTGGCTTCCTGACCAATCATGAATCTGGGAAGGGAGTTCTGACATGCTGCCCGGCTTCCTGATTGGTTAGGAAGCTAGGCTACCTACCAACAAGTGAAGCTGGCTTCCTAGCTAATCCGGAAAGCGGGCGGCATGTCAGGACCCGCCTCCTGGCTTCCTGATTGGCTAGGAAGCCGGCTTCACTTGTTGCTAGACAACCTGGCTTATCCGTGGTCTCTCTGCACTGCCGGTCAGAGGGAGATCCCCCCTCTGACCGGAAGTTCTGGTATTAGAGGTAAGTATCGGAGCATTTGGGCGAGTATGAATACTCGCCCAAATGCTTTGTATCGGCACTGATACTAGTATCGGTATCGGTGCATCCCTAGTTAAAATGTATGTCAGGGCAAAAATATATATATTTAGTACAGCTGCAATATATGCACATTTTCCCATGTTTAATTTTTTTTTTTTTTTAAATGCAGCAAGTACAGAAAATACCTGTTGCTCTGCTTGAAATCTGATATGCTGCTTACTTCCTGTTTGGGCTTACAACACACTGCCTTTTATGTACTGATATACCAACCAGTGTTGTCATCTCAGCCTGCTGGATAAGATAACTCTGCTTATCCTCTGCTTCACATGCATACATTGATTTCTTTACCATCAATGTTCCTGCCTTGACTCACAACAGTCTCTGCACACACTGAAGGGAAAAGGCTGTTGGGAGATGTAGTTCTGGGGGGTACTTATGTAAATAGGAACTGAGCTCCCAGAAGCTGCCCCTGCAAGACTTTTATAAGCCTGGTGAAGTGTAACACTTTCCTGGGAATCAGTCTGGAATGAAATATAGGAGCTCCGATCCTCCAGCGCTGACTGGAGGAACGGATGGGGGAGGGGGCGGGTACAGCTGGCTCTGCCTCTAAATAGGCAGAGCCAGCTGTCACTCACGCAGCTGGGCTGCTCCAGACAAAATTGTCGGGATCCGTTTCAGCTGCGTCGTCTGCGGGCTGTAGCTCGCGGTATACTGAGCATAGGGTGACGGGAGGACGCTAGTTTGTGTCCTCCTGTTACCCTTAGGACAACTATGGGGAAAAGCCCTGACCCCATAGTTCACCTTTTAACTCTCCAGCACTCCAAAAATATTGAGTCATTTTTAATTTTTTAACTTTGTGGCTTTTTTTCCCCCCCCAGTGTACAATCATGAAGAGGACTCATTCTATGTTCACCATGACATTCTGTTACCGGCCTACCCTCTGTGTTCTGCGTGGTTGAACTTTGACCCAAGCCCTGAAGAAAGTACAGGTAACCATTCTAAATAAAAGCCTATAATGAAGCAGCTGTTCTAAAATATATAGTGACTTAAAGTGTATGTAAACCCTAACTATGAACGTCTCTTATTTGCTCCCTGTTTAACTGTTAAATATACAAATTAAAGGGTTTTGTTATACCTGTTCAAAACGTGCAAATGCATACCTGTTGATCCTGCCAGATGCTTTGTGAGCTGACCATTTTCTGTGCCTCTGTGTTCTGCAGTAATGGTTCCAACTCTCTCTGTGATCTACAGAACAACTTCTCTCTTTTTGGAGAAGAGGAAGATGTTTTTTTTTAGTCCTGCCCTTGAATGACAACACTGCTCCTCCATAGATACAGTGTGATTAGTGTCACCCTAAGATGGGAAGTGTGTTTGTGGCAGCATTACTGAGTGAAGATAAAGGGAAAAGTAGCATAAATGAATGCAGCCTTTTTCCTGGGTTTAAAAACACTTGAAATCAGTAGCTGCTATAGGGCTGGAAGACATATGTGCTGGGAGTGCTTCTGTGTATTTGCTATTTGCTTGGTGTTCAGCTTTCAGTAATTCAGGGTTAAATCTATTTCCAATTAACCCCTTCATTACTGAGGCCTTTTTTTCATTTTTTGTACCCATGTTATATTCCACATTTTAGGCCTGAAAATTACTTAAAACCCCCCAACATTATATATTTTATTGTCCTTAAGAGGTTATAATAGATTACTCAATATTTAGGGGGTCAATTTCTTTGCATGCATTATCTTTAGTAAAAGTTACAGTGGGCACCAATGATTAAAATATTACCTTTTTTACATTCCATTATCCCCTATATATCCATATTCCATTTATTCAATATTCAACTTTATATAATTATATAGTTTTACTACGTACAGAAAGCCCTATTTTTCACCAAAATTTTAAGAGTCAAAATAAAATTGTTTGTCAAAATGAAACCTCTTTGAAATACAAAAACTGCTAAAGCCTTGAAGGGGTTAAACGTATAAGCACATGTGACACCTGTATCCCCCTCCCTCTCCCTCTGGTCGGCTCGCTGCCTCTGTTGTATGCATATATCACAGTTAGACTTTAAAGAGCCCGTGTAGGTTTCAGTTATATTGCTAAAAAGCATGTAATCTAAATCGTCCCCTTTTTTAATGTACTTTAATAATGATGTTTTTACGCTGTTGCTAGCAGTCAGCAAACATTTTAATGCTCAGCAGTGCTTATTAGACTTGTTAACTGCTTGGTGGCAGGATAATAAGCCCCTGCAGGAGAAAGGTAATGGAGAAAGTCAGGGCTCGTTATGTGCTGTGAAAGTTTATTTTCCCCTCCCGGCTGCCATGATGACGTTAAATCATAGTTGGCTGATCTGGGGTTTATTTTATTGATCAGACTCCTAATACGGTTATAATGTCCTTAGGACTGGCTCACTTGGGGGGGATTCATGCTGCTACTTTATAACTCCATCACATAATAGCAGCTGTCATACGTGTTTAACTAACATTTAATGAAAATCTCACAGACCTGACGTGTCCATATTAATGTAGCAAAGCAGAGAGGTTCTTGGGAATCTGCGGCATAGAAGAGTGATATCATTCAAGGGTTGCCGGGCTGCTGTAAAGGAAACCCGTGCTAAGGCAAGGCTGTAGGCTACCATTGATAATGTATAGAATGCTAAGTTTCTAGGTTATAGAATGCTCATTGCCTAGCTGTCATTGTTATACAATGCTTTCAATGATTTGAGAGGCTAACCTGGAACAAGTGAGCAGGTGATTAGATCTGACTTGCTGTCTATTTATCCATGTCCACTGGCTGAGAAAGAACTGAAGTCAAAGGATTAGCATGACAGCTGGCAAGTCATGTTTTTGGGGGCACATTGGCATTGGTAACATGCAGTGGCGTAACCAGAGTTCTGGGCGCCCGGGGCAAAAAAAATAAGTAACATGCATATTTCTCTTAGCACAGAAAGTTTTAATTTGTAGTGATAGCTGTAATATGTGCAAATGGCAGGATCGGCTGTTGGAATTGGGCTTCTCTTTGGGGTTTTCACTGGAACACTTTTTCGCATTCACACTTTCGCATTGCGGCATTGTGTGGCAATTAACATTTAATGCATTGCAATCCATTTTGAATGAATGGCACCTCAACAAATGTCATTCATTTTGAATATAACCCCAAAACACTAAGGCAATGCACCTGTGTTGCCACGTGCCACAATGTACAGCAAAGTGCGAGGTGTTGTGATGTGTTGCATTGCTAAAATGGTGCTTGGCCGATTTTCGGCATGTTGGGCTGCGTTGACAGCCCATTCATTTCAATGGGTTTATTTGGATTGTTTTCATTTGTTGCCTTTGTACATTTTGCACACACCATCCATAGTCTTTCAATGGCTGTTATGTGGTGTATTTGGCACACCTTGTGGCAGCTCCTGAACCTCCTACGAGGTCCAATTTTTCCATTTTGGGATGCATATTTGTCAGCATCTGTGAAGTGTGCAAACTGTTTTTGCAAGCTGTAAGGGAATGGCTAAGTTCACTTTTACAGGAAAATTGCCTATACAGTCAATGGGTCCCAGTAGGTATAAAAAAATAAAGAAACCTTGCTGCTTTTAAAATGTTAATTCATGTAGTTGCCATACCTGTAGGCCATTTGCACTAGTGCTGAAGCCAACGAATCGATTTAAGATTCGATAATGAGAAATGTCAATGATTTTCATCAATTACTGAATTGGTCTGGATCCCCTATGTCTCTACTCCTCGCTGGGAGCTGGTGTTTCATTGACTCTGTGTCCCCTCCAATCCCTGCTGCTCCCAGTGGGGATTGGAGGGGACACAGACTCCTGCAGCTGGTGCCCAGCGCTGAGGAGAGCTCCACCAAATCATCCCCAAACCACAATATTTGCTGATCATTCCCTGTAATATTCAAACATCGCTGATCACTACAATGTTTGTAAGTAATTGAGGACATAGTATTTAGATACTGTGTCCCCAATTTATGAGTGAACAGGAAGTGCTCTACTGCACTTCTTGTTCATTCATGAGTGTGGACCTAGTATCTGTTTACCATTTCCTTGATTTATGAATGAACATTAAGCCTCTCTGCTTGGGCTGCAGAAAGAGATTGAGGACTTTTTGTCAATCTTTTTTGTATAATAAAAGGGAAGCATCAGGGGTCTGTTTTAGACCCATTATATTTCCTCAAAGCCACTAACCGTAAAGTAAAAAATGAAATAAATACAAAATAATTAAAGGTAAAAAAGAAATAAAGCCTCCCTCCCACAATTAAAACATTAAAAAAAAAGAGGTGGTTAAAAAATTCATTTTTGTTTTGGGCCTGACAAGTCTGGTACAGGAGGTGCGTTGTGGTGCTATCATTGCCTACCGCAATGTCGTGCGTTCCAGTGCGGTGTGATTGCAAACAATTGTGAATGCAGTTTTATTCTGAAATAAACTTTGTCTAACACTGCATTTGGGTATTTTATTTTAAATTAAGGATGGTATTTAATTTTTTTTTTAAATCAGTTCAATCGGAAATATAGTCGATCAACTATTCGATTTATGAAAGTAATCATTTGTTGTAGCTCTGTTTTGCACCCTCTAAGCCTGGCCTAAAAACTCCCATATTTGGCTTTGAACCGTCCTGTTGCTAGGATTCTGCAGCCATTGGACACTCTGCAGCCATTGGACACTTTAACCTTTTCCAAACCCTGTGCATGTGCAGTGGGCTCTTCCCCTGTATTAACAGAGTCCAACGATGCTGCAACAGGGGAAGGAGAATGCACTGCGCATGCGCAGAGTTTTTAATGATAATGGAGCTCGCTCCTATGATGCTAGGGATGAGCGCCCAATGGTTGTAACATCTTAGCAACAGAACAGGGCAAATCGGCCAGGCTTAGGAGGGCACAAATGGCCTACAGATATGGCAGCTTGTTAAGCAACTACTTTGTTTTTATCCAAGCTACATTAATCAACATTGTTAAAAGCTGCTGTGTTGTTTTTTTTTGTTTTGGTGTTTTTTTGTTGTTTTTTTTTAGCCTACTGGGGCCCCTTGAATGCATAGACCATTTTCTTTTAAAGGTGAACTTGGCCTTTAAGCAGCCTCTATGTGTCTAAAAGGAGATTCACTATCTCACTAAAAACATATCACAGTGCATTGTAATTTTATCTTTATTTAAAGCTTTATTATACCTTGAACTCCTTGGCCTCAGCAGCATGATTGGGATTTGAAATTGCTTGAACTCGCTAATTCTAGCAACTAATCTCTATTTGTATGGAGGATATATAGCCCTATCAAGACATATTACGGTGGATTACAATATACAGTATATCAATATCTCATTACTAGATTATATTTTTGGATCCATTACTGCATGATGGGACAATTAAACTGCCCGAATGGATGTAATTGAGATACCAAAGCGTTTTGTTTTTTTCTTTAGACAACACTGTCATCATACCTTTATTGTATCTTGAGGAGGACCCAGTAATGTTTTTATTGATTGATTTAAATTTTTTTTTTTTTTAAATATTTATCTTACTAGACATAAATACAAGACATACTATAGATATTTGGAACATAATGGTTTTGAGTATGAAGTGTATATTGGTGACCTAATCCTTTAGGTGCTTGAACTAATTATATAGGAATGGGTTATAACCCCTGTGTAGTTTTTAACGCCATCAATGTCCCCGTTGGGGGGGATTCAACCTTTCTTTCAGTCCAGGTGACCATTGTGGCTAGGACTGAAAGTGAGGATAATGCTAACATTTTGAGTTGTCACTTTAACAGGAATAAATATGAAATCTTTGTGAGAAAAGTTTTTTGTTAAAAGATTTTCCTATTCATCAAAATGAAGGAAAAATCTCCCCAGGGGATGGTTGACATTGATTCTCATTATCGATTAGCTGGTTTCGGCCCTACTGTTGCTTTAACCTGCATGAGCAAAACATTGGTACACTTTAAATGATCATAATTGTCTAGGCTTACCCTTTTGAATGATCTATATTTTCCCACTTAATTAAAACTGGATAGAAAAATAAGTTGTTTGCCTTCTTTGTCTACCTTGTTCCCCCCTTTATTATTAAACTACAGGTGCTCTTTAAATAAAACCCAAAGCAGATGTCTGTTGCATTATGTTATAGTGGTGTCCTCAGCAAGGTTTGTGCATAAGCAAGCTGGCATGATAGATGGCGGGAGCACTGTTTTGGCTTCTCACAGAGACCTCTTGAATCATAGAAATTGCTCTGTGGAGATAATGAATACTTTTCATTTGCATTGAAAAACCTCTCTGGAAATGGATGAGGAAGCCGACGCCTGTCTGAATTGGTGAGAATTCTGTTGTGTTCAAATGATGGATAAGAACTTTCCTGCAACTTATTTGTCAGATTGAAATAAATACACAATGAGATGCCATGCCGGGCCTTGTTCAAAAAAAAAAATGGTGTGTTCGCTTCAGTCTATCTATATCATTGTTGACCATAGCAATCTATCCTGCAGCCATCTGTCATGTTACCTGTGATGATTTAAAAGTTTTAAGAAGTGTACAATTTCATTTTTATTTTTGTTTCCAGTGAGTAAACGCGTAGTTTGCATCTGACACTTGATGCACAGTAAGGTGGCCATACACCTTACAATTATCGTTCATTTTTTTTTTTTTTTTTTCATAGATGAAATTCGGCACGTTTTACAGTAATTGTGATCGATGACTACCATTCAACTGGTTGATTTATCGTACGAAAAAACGTTTTTGTTTGGAAATTGAACGATAACCGCAAGATGTATGGGCACCTT